TGCTGACCCCCTCCCCTTCCAGCAACTGAAGCAAAATATCCCCTTCCCGGGCACTGAGAAATGGACACCACCGGGGTCTCGGTTCGCGAGAGCAGTAGCTCTGGACACGCGATAGGTTTGCGGAGCCTTATGAAAGCCACTTTGCAGCCATCTCGCTTGCCTGCAAAACCCACAAACCACTGCCGTGTCCGCACCCTGCAGAGTGAACTTGCCCTGAAATCACAGGAACAAGGGTGACTTCCTGCGCGCTGGGAGTTCATAGGCGAGAAGGAAAGGCACGCATGGCCAGGTCTATGGGAGTCTGGCTCTACAGTCCGGACACACCTGGCCCCATCCCCGCGAGCGCTCTTAACACGCCGTTCGCTGCAATTATAAGTGCTCCTCCAGACTGGGACACCCCGATATGGAATTCACAGCTCGGGCGTGTTCTCCCCCTGCAATCCGCGCTCAGTACAGAATAAATAAAATATTTCACTTGCGCCAATCTACGAAGCAGTTAAAAAATCCTCTTAGAATTTCTATTTTCCCAAACACCATCCTCTTTTCTCAGCCACGTTAATGTAAAAATACAATTTTACAAGCCCGGTCGGAGAGCATCTCACAAATATTTATATTTAAATGTTGCCTGGCACCCAGCGTCCACATTCGACTCTCTAATCCTGCCACTTTAAAGAGATGAATTAATAAAGCAAATGAGGGTCTAATAAGCTGACTGTCCTGTCTATTGAGGCAGGGGGAGAGAGACTAGAAAGTGCGCCAAATTTGTTTGCAGTGGATCAAGGCTAGCCGCCTTTGCTTCACTTTCTTTATCTTAATTCCGACTTGAAAAGATATAATTATCTAGTTTGAACAGAGCTGCTATCAAATCCTTCTTTAGGCAGGGAAGGGAAAAGCTGGAGTGGGTTGCAGTGTTCTGAGCCGCTCGGTGTTGCCTGAGATAGTGAGTAATGAAGTTGTGGAGTCCTGAGATACAAAGGGCATTAACCTCATTAGCATGAAACCTTTTCTTCTAACCATTGTGGGACCCTTTCAGACTCCTAATCCCCCCTATTTTCAAAGCTTGGTTTGTAATAAAGCTTTTAGGGGTTTTTTTCAAAGCTAATGGCATTCTCTGAAGATTTTATTGCTGTTACGCTACATAGGACGCTTAATTTTTTTTCTCTCTCCCTTTCCTTGCGGTGGAAAAAAAAAGTATATAGCTCCTGCAGAAATAAGCCTTTTATCAAGATGGGAAACAATTTATAGAAAGGCCTAATTCTGCTGTTTCACTGCGATCTATTTAATGTTCGCCCATTTGCATGGGTTTGAAGTAGAACTCAAGCGAACTTGGGCGAGTGACGGGAACAAATGCGCCCTGCTTCAAGATCTGCACAAGCAGTTGTTTAGGGGTGGAAACGTCACACGTTTACTGGGGGAATAATTATTTAGGGGAGCTGTCTTGGGGTTTATATACAAGGATCTCTGCATTGAGACACGCGTCTCGCCTTGCCTGGGTCTCTAATATTTGTAGCTGCTCTGAATGGAAAGTGACTACTACTGAATAAGGAGGAACGGCGACTAAAATAATAAAATCGGACTTCGAAAAAACAACAACAATGGCATAGTACCCTATAATGCCTCCACGTGCGTGGAATGTATAATCTTAAATTTTCAAGGCAGGATGTTTAACAAAGCTCGTATTTTCGGGATGCATTGTAACTTCGCCTTATCACAGTGTAAAGGGTAGTCAGATTGTCCTAAATTATGTCCAACTAGCCCCCCTGGATCCACGGATTAAGAGATTAAAGGAGACCACTGGGCAATGCCTCCTCTTTCCCCTTCATATTCCTGGTATGATAATTGCCTAAACTGATTTGCACTTTCACAAAAGCTTGCAGGATTCTTTGTAGCTCGAACAGAGCAGACGAGGTTTCTCTATCAATGGAAATAAAACTGATTAATGCAGTCTATCAGGCTAAGGAGCAAATGAAGCATGAAAAAACAACTGTGTACCCCCAGAAAACCAGCTAGTTTCCTCAAGGATTGGTTGCAACTCCCCCCCCCCCCCCCCCCCCATCTCCCAAACACACACACTTTAATGTTAGAGTTTTAACTTTTTCCTCAGAATCGCTCCCCCTGACAAACATACAGCCCGCCAACTGGTCGCTATACAACATCTGTCGTGTCCTGATTTTCGAAATTAAAAAAAAAAACTTAAAAAGAAAAGTCAGAAATCCCGCAAAGAAAAAAAAGTTAGCAGATACTCCTATTTTTTTCAACCGAAAGTTGGCTGCTATCGGCTGATTTATTTCTCTATTGCTCTTTTTGCATTAGAAAATAAAGGTGGCTCTGATCTCTGGGTTATTTTGTTTTAATGTTCTAGTTAGTAGCGATTGATTTAACGAATACAAGGACGGTCAGTGCACCGTGTATGATGAATGGTTCATTGGGGCCGAAATTGACATGAATGGTTGGGGCGTAAAGTCGCTACAGTAACAAAAAAATAAAATAAAATGAAATAAAAATAAAAAGGGGGGAACGAACCTGCCAGGTTCAAAAACTTGGGAAATATTTCTTAAAATTTTAGGGCATATTGATAAATCTTTATTGACAAAATATTGACAATGACATACTTCTTGGAAGTATATAGTGTGTTAGAATTCTAACAAATTAAACACAAAACACAAAAATATTTACATTCTGGTATAGAAGACATTAAGGAAACATTTGTCACTTTTTAGTAGCTCAATAATCTTGGAATATTATAAGCTCAGTGCTTGAAACTTGCCTCCAATTAAGATGGTCAATCCATCCTTTATTTAGAGTCCTTTACATGGCTCCTGCCAGGTTTGGAAGATTTGCCAATTAGGGACCCTATCCTCAAACGTGGTCATTGGACTTAAACCCAAAATTAAGCTTCATAATGGGAATATTAGATTTTTTAACGATTTTTTTCTGCAGCAAAAGTCAAAACCATCCCCCGCCCCATACCACCGTGTTGTCCATTTGGGAGGAACACTAGAGTTACTGCTACTTCGTTTAGCTTTCACAATCACGTTGACGCCAGAAGTTATCATAAAAATGTTTACAGACTGCACATTTCTCGTAATATAAAATTAAAAAGCACACGGAACCTGTCTCAAAGGGAAAACAAATCACAATTCATTTCTGTGTTGCTGCCCACGCGGCTTTACACACATGCAATTCAAGTTTCTGAAACAGGTGTGGTTCTGGGCTGTGTGTGGAATTCTCTGTTAAAGACTGGGCAAACTGGGAAGTGCAACATGTCCTGTTAGGTTTTGTC